AATACTTCACATTCATCCAGTTTGTGATAATAGTTGTAGCATGTTTGAGACTTTTAAACTTTAATTACCGCTGTTTCCCCCCCTACTGGATAATTGTTCCCCCTTGTGTATATGTGTTGGGGGGGGGCGCAACTTCCAACAGGATTCATTTGGGGGGGCTCTTGGGAAAAAAGGTTGGGAACCCCTGCTTTAATTCACTCTCATCTTATTTTCAGCACTTTAGAAAGCAATGTGATTTAATATGTGTTTTCTTACTTTTCCCGTGTCCATTTAAATGGCNGTCCTTTAATTTCTTCATACAGCGGGAATCCAAATTAATGAATCCTGAGTCCAATAACCATCAAAGTCACTCCAATAGTGATCCTTAATTACGCTTTCATCCTCCTTTAACAAAATACTTCACATTCATCCAGTTTGTGATAATAGTTGTAGCATTTTTGAGACTTTTAAACTTTAATTACCGCTGTTTAAATCACTCTCATCTTATTTTCAGCACTTTGGAAAACAATGTGATTTAATATGTGTTTTCTTACTTTTCCCGTGTCCGTTTAAATGGCTATTACATTCATACAATTAAATGGCCAGTGCCATGGACAGAGAAATCATTCTCATGATAATATATGTTCTTTATGTATTCTGTCTAGTTTATACAAGTAAAAGGATAGTAATACTTATCATGCAGCTTTTTCTGTAGTTTCTTTTCACGTCCCTAAGTGCCGCTGTTGGTTAGTGTGAGAACATTGAGGCTATTTTCCTCATTGAAGTCCTTCCTTGCTCTTGCAGCTCTATTTCAATCGGACTGAGAAAACCACTCGGCAACCTATGAGCTCCTACAAATATCTTTAGCTGGTTTTCTACGCGGTTGTTTGTTTTTAATATTCGGATTTTCGAAAGGCTCTCCTCAAGATGGGAGTTATTTGTTGTGTGGGCGGAAAAAATACGTTTTCTTGGTGGCCGCTGCTTCTCTGCATTTGTGTCGCAGAAATTGCTCTCGGGCAGGTCCGTTATTCTTTACCTGAAGAAATGGCGACGGGCTCTGTGGTCGGGAATATCATTCAGGACCTAGGCTTGGATATTAAACGGCTTAAATCCGGGCGGGCTCGGATATTTACCGAGGACGGCAGTGAGTACATTGGTCTGAATGCAGATAAGGGAACTCTGGTAGTGGCTAAAAGGATAGACAGAGAAGAATTGTGCAAGCAAGTTTCTCCCTGCTCTCTTCATTTCCAAATCATCATTGAAAATCCAATGGAGTTGCATAGGATTGATGTAGAGATTACAGATATTAATGATAATGCTCCGTTCTTTTCGAAAAAGGAATACGATTTCCAGGTTATTGAATCCGCCTCACCAGGGGCTCGCTATTCACTTGAGAGCGCAAAAGATCCCGATGTAGCACATAACACTCTTCAAACATACAAACTCAACCCTACAGATCATTTCAAATTGAATGTTGTTTCTCGACCTGACGGGACAAAATATATTGAAATGGTTCTGCAAACGTCGCTTGACAGAGAAAAACAAGAAGAGCACAAATTAACGTTGACAGCATTTGACGGTGGTAATCCTCAGAAATCGGGATCTGTCAAAATTAATGTCGTTGTTTTGGATGCTAATGACAATGCACCAGTATTCACACAGTCTGTTTACAGAGTTACAGTTCCTGAAAACGCTTCTAGGGGCACTGTTATTTTAAGAGTCAGTGCCACTGATAATGATAAAGGAGCAAACAATGAAGTGGCGTATTCGTTCTCCAAGCATACCGATAGTGCATCATCCCTGTTTAATATTGACCCCCATACCGGAGAAATTACTGTAAATGATGTGTTAGATTATGAAAAAGCTAAACGTTATGAAATAGATATTGAAGCTACAGACAAGGGAGGGTTGACAGATACAAGCAAGGTGCTAATTGAGGTGACCGACCTAAATGATAATGCCCCGGTCATAAGCATAATTTCCCTTTCCAATCCCATACCAGAGAATTCAGCTGCAGATACTGTTATAGCAATGCTAAATATCAAAGACTTGGACTCAGACAAAAATGGCCAAATAAGGTGTTTTATTAGCAAAGATTTACCTTTCAAAATCAAGTCATCATCAACAAATTTTTATAGCCTGATCTCTGACGATGTTTTAGATCGTGAAACTGTGCCGGAATATAACATAACAATTACAGCAATGGATGAGGGCTCACCGCCTTTTTCTACAAACAAGACTATTAATTTAAAAATATCAGACGTTAATGACAACCCCCCAATGTTCACACAATTATTAAGCACCGCTTTCATCACTGAAAATAATTCACCTGGCATGTCAATCCACTCTATCAAAGCCAGTGACAAAGACTCAGGGAACAATGCCCGCATTTCCTACTTCCTCGAGGAAAGCCAATTGAATGGGTTGTCAGCCTCCGCTTATTTTTCAGTGAATGCAGAGAGTGGAGAGATACTTGCTATGCGTTCCTTCGACTATGAGCAGACCAAAGAGTTTAATATTCGCGTCAAAGCACAGGATGGAGGCTCTCCTCCACTGAGTAGCAACGTGACTGTGAAAATACTGATCCAGGACCAGAACGACAACCCTCCTCAGGTCCTGTACCCAGTCCAGACTGGTGGCTCTCTGGTGGCTGAGATGGTGCCTCGTTCAGCAGATGTGGGCTATCTGGTCACTAAAGTGGTGGCTGTTGATGTGGACTCTGGACAGAATGCCTGGCTCTCCTATAAACTGCAGAAAGCCACGGACAGGGCGCTGTTTGAAGTGGGCTTACAGAATGGAGAAATAAGGACTATCCGCCAGGTGACTGATAAAGATGCTGTGAAACAAAGACTGACTGTTATAGTGGAGGACAACGGGCAGCCCTCTCGTTCAGCTACAGTCATTGTTAACGTGGTGGTGGCTGACAGCTTCCCGGAAGTGCTGTCTGAGTTCACTGACTTTACACAGGACAAGGAGTACAATGACAACCTGACTTTTTACTTAGTGCTGGCTCTGGCTGTAGTGTCCTTCCTCTTCATCACGTGTTTAGTGGTTATCATATCAGTGAAGATCTACAGGTGGAGACGCGAGCAAGTGTTTTACAAATCTAGTGGGAATCTTCCTGTTATTCCGTATTACCCGCCCCTTTACGCAGACGTAGGAGGTACCGGTACGTTGAAGCAGGCACTCAGTTACGAGGTGTATGGAACTACCGACTCCCGGATGAGTGACATGAAGTGCTCCCGACCCTTCAGTCAGAGCACTCTGACTGTTGACCATAGTGCTACCAGGACAGTGCCAAGGCAGGTACCTGAGTCAGAGAATATACTCACAGAGGTGAGATCAAGCCCTTCCTTGTTTCATTTGAACCCTTGATCCTTGTGATTTGTGTTTGTTTTATATCATTCTTATTGCTTGTATTGGTATTTCAGTTCAGTGTTGCCACTACACTACTTGGTACTGTACCCACTTTTAGTACGCCCTGAAAGCTTTGCTTTGCATATACCAATTTATATTCAACAACTTTAATATTTATGTATCTCACAACTGATCTTGTGGCTGGATTGGACATGCTCTTGATATAAAATAGTGTCAGGAATAGTGTGAATATTGATATTTGAACATTGGTTTATCTGTCTTTGTTTTGTCAAGTATAAACATTGGAGAGTTTATACTTCCTCGTTTTAGGCCCATAAACTTCTATATTGACCAAATGATGCCCCCCAAAACAATGAAAAAATGTAAAATACTCAATAAAACAACTAATATTTGTTGGATATGCTTAACCCATTTGTGGGTATACAAATACTCAATGGACATACTCAAACACTGTTGTTGACGTTGCTTTATTTAGAGGCTTAACCTGTGCTATTGTTTTAAGGTACACTGTGTCAGATACTTTGTTAGTTTTGTTTCACAATTACACTATATCCTCCATGAAGTATTTTTTGTGGCATTTCTCACATTAATCCCATTCATTCTTATTCCTATTGATTCATTAAACATATAGTTCTAGCAATTAGCTACAACATCTGGCACTGAAGCCTGATTTTATTTGCAAATAATTCAGTTACCTATTTAGATATTCTTTTACTGCCTTTTTACTTAATGCATGTGTGAGAGAACCAACCAGGTCCGGGTTGGAGAGAACGTTATAGAAGATACAATGAAAGGAGATGCTTGGCTTCATCACTGTTAGAGGATTGCTTCATATTGCTTCTGCTAACACACAACCACGCAGTGCACTACTTTTTCAGTGACCTAGTTCTCCCAATAACAGTGTGTAGCCATGAGCATAAGACTACACAGAGAAAAATGGCTGGAATAGATGCAAGCACACACATATAAAGCAAGAATAATACAAATGAATGTTAAATAAATTAAATAAGTGAAACAATAATATTGATTGAATAATATTTACAACGTTTAAACTGTGGTATAAGGGAGGAGGAAATGGTCACTAATGGAGCTGGGCAGATTGAGAACGAGGGGGAAAAGCAGTGTGATGGAGAGGAAGAGAGAGGCAGCAGGGGGAGGGGAAGAGGCACGTGGTAACCGGCACAGTCTCCAACATCACTGTGCAGTATTTGTGTTAGTGATGTACGGCAGCCATTTTGATCTGCAGCCCTCTTTGTCTAATGGGATACAGGGTTCAGGAAAGCATTAGGTGTAAAATAGCTACATATACTGACTGTCTGTAAAAGACACAGACGGTTTGAGATATTTCTTCAAAATATAGAGGAATAATTAGTCAAGAGAGAGAGAGATGGACAGGAAGACAAAAAGAGAGAGAGATCTAGATCTTGTATTTCGGGAAACAGGCACTTAAAGCATCATTTGAAGATCTAGCTTGATGCATGAGCATTGAATAAATGCATGTATGATGTGGATCATCTGTTTTGTCCAGTATCAGAGGAAGCACCACATATGTTTCCTCTGGGTTGTGTAGGTGGTTTTACAGTTAAGTCTGCATGTTGTTCAGGTTGTGTGTGTGTGGAAATAGAAGTTGACAAACTACAAGGAAGGAGCAGGTTAATTATGTGAACCACCCACTGGAAGCAGTTTGTCATCATTATCAGACCACATCTGTGTCTGCTTTACCTATGTTCAAACAGTGTTTGCACCATTTTGTTTCCTCAGGTTTGTTAATTGATGGTTTTTACTGAGTACCATACATTCCTTTGGCCAGTGTCACCATAGGGTTAAAAGCAAAAGGTGACATATTTATGAGCTAAATGGTTCAGCCTGTTTATCCACTGTACTCCTTTAGCATATTGTTGTTTTATATTTCTCTTGTTTGTGAAAACTATCTTAGAGCTGTTATCATTTAATCAGTTTGCTGAACTTGTTTCTTACCACAAAACCATAATAACATGCAGACGCTGCTGGTTCCCACAGGACCAGGCTCTTGTTTGAGTGTCCCACGTTCCCAGCTAAGTTGTCTGGTGAGCAGCTGTGTGTCCATGTGTATGCCGGAAGGGCTCATCCACACACTGTGCACCATGTGTGTCAGGGGATGTGGTTAATGTTTGTACTTAAACAACTCATTGTGTCTCTGTTTGCATGAAATCCTAGATATATGTTTAACTTTTTTCAAACAAAACAAACTACACCTTTATATACTGAGTGTGGTATCAACAGAAAAAATGAAATATACATAAATAGCTCAAGTGCATAATGCTCTCTCCATGTGATGAGTGTTGTTGCCTGTCCCTCTGGAACTGTTGTTTTGTTGAGTTATGCGAAAGGAAACATTTAAACCCAAACAGAATAGGGCCAAGCAGTTAAAGAGCACAGTGAAAGGACAATGTTTTTCACTGCGTAAGGGAGGCAGGTAAAACAGTACTACCAAAAGTAAAATACACCTTTATAGGCATTATTAGTAAAGAACATATATTGTATGTAACAGTCATTAATACATATCTTTGTCAACCATGTACAAATGGCAAAAGTATTGATATCAGTTTGACTGTGTTTCTCTCAGGCATTCAATGATGGCAGGACAAAACCTAATTTGTCTACAGTGTATCTAAGGAAGCTGAAGTGAATACAAGCAAGTGCATGTGTACTATAAAACCTGTCTTTGCTTGAGGTCAGGTATATTGAACATTGATTAGATGTTATATTTGGATGTGTGTTGATGTCACAGAGGTTAAAGTGTGGAGTTCTGCACTGACAGGGATTACACTAGGGATTCACTGTGTAATATGGGGCAGTGACAAAGTTATGTCAAACTCAGAAAGACTATATTTCCTTTACTTAGATATTGCATATTCCCAAATATATAGAGCATGATTGTAAATGTGTGTTTTATCCTCCTAATCCAACACACAGAGACACTTTGTGCTTTGGACGTAGGACAGAGCCTTCCACCACAACAAAGATGCAAATTATAATTCTTATGATTTGGTCAATGATATGACTTCCACTTATAGATTACTCAAACATTTCAGTTAAAATTGTATCAATTTGAAGCTGAAACTTGATTGCAACTGCTCAGCAGCCATCCTTGTTTTCCAACAGTCTTTCTTTTCCTCCTGATCTCATTTTCTGCATCCTTCCCCTCCCCCTCTCCAGCTGCACCACTCTGCTGCAGAGAGAGAAAGAGACAGAGAAAGGGAGAGGTAGATTGCTAAATGTAGGACATTTTGTTCGGTCTATAAAAAGAAATTCTACACCATACACTGTCATTTCATCCCTTTAAAGGTTGTCACATTCATGATAAGAAGAAATATGTCCTTTGAAGCATCTTTCAGTCATTTATGAAAATATGCTTTACTATACAGCAGTCCATAAACATGTGCTTTGTATGAACAACATATCAAATACAAAGGTGTGTGTCATGGTACGGTTTTTCTTTCTTTCATCCATCTTTCTTATTTATCCTCTATTTTGTTTTGTAGCTCTTTTTTTGCCCCCATTGCCAGCCCTCAGGAAGCATGGTGGGATGCAAGCAAGGGAGGTAGGATGTGTTACCATAGCAACAAGCTGACTCACTGGCAGGGCTGTACCATTTTTACTTGGTCCACAGGGGCTCAGTAGAGGATGTAGCCTCTGAGCAGTGATGGATCCATGCATGTGCATACTGGGAGGGTAGAAGACACCCCTGTTTTGGTCAAATAGATGCAAACATCCTCAGTCCTGGGGTGGCTGATGATGAAGAAAGGGGAGGGGTAGAGGGTGATCATGGCTGCTTTTGATATTTGTTCTGATCGATGCTGCCATGTTTGTTTTTCTTTCCCCTGTTAAAACATAGCATATACATGATGATGGTATACACTGATATACAGACTTAAATGAACCAATTTTGATGACATTATGGTTGTTATATGAAAAGAACAGCAGCTTTTTGATGTCCCTTTTTCATTTCATTGTTGCTTGACTTCCTGAATGATCAGTTTATGTTGGATGAGGCTTTTTTACCATCACTGCATGTTAAAATGTGTTCATGTACACAAAAAGCATATGACTCACTACAGTACATCAGTAGAAAAAAAACAGTTGCTGCTTTGCTTTGACTAAGCAGCTTAAATCTGCTCTCACAGAGACACTCCAACCTACATCAGCTGTGACAAACACAGGGTCACAGAGCAAAGAATCTCATTAATAAGGCATGGTTTTGTCTCGGCATCGCCTCGAGGCCCCCTGCTGTTGCTATAAGGGTAGTGGCTTTGTGCAGCAGTGCAGTCCTTCTGTTATGATTCAACCCTGCTGTAGTGTCAGAAATGTATTTTAAGTCTTCACTTTCCACAGAAATCATTGCATTTATATTTTTGGTTTCATGCTGATGTGGTTTTACTTTTACCAAAGTATATGGATGCTTCTGTTTGAAGGGCAACGTAGTTGTTGTAGCAGTTTCTTTTGTGCAGCATTATCTAACATGGCATCTATTTAGTGAATGCAGTGGAACATTATTCACAAAACATTGCATGGACATATTTGTGGTTTAGGGAACCAAAGTGACCTGTCTCTCTGGACGGTGTAATGTTATGTTCTATCCACCAAGGCAGAGCTACTGCCTCTTTCTTTCCTCAACAATATCATTTGTTTGTGTCATCATAATTATCACCCCTCTTGCAAGGACAGCAATGCTAACACAACATCTTTCTGAGAAATCAACCTCTCTCTGTCTCTCTATCTCACTCACTAACTCAAACAGACACAATCACAATGGTTGCCTAATGTTTTATATAAGTGTGATACCTTTGACACCCTGCTTGGATGTCTTTTCATATTCTTTCATCAATTAGGGTATTTCCCATTATCTGTTCAGTATTGTTGGAACATACAGCTCTAAATGTTATATAATTATAATAATCTATCATGCTTTTGTATTTGTTTGCTTTTTGATGTTTTAGCTGATGGATGATGAATGTTCTTAATAATAATATTATTAATATTGTAATGTTTTAATTTGTGTTATTATTATCCAAAACAGATACAGATCAAACAACTAATTATAATTGTACACAATTGGAAACTGTTATAGTTTATATGTGCACACAGTAGATGTGTTTGTGAACAGTCCAATCATTTATTATCAATCAAAATACACATAAATTAGAGACTCTATGAATATCCACATGAATCACAACACCCATTTGTTGTGAGCCACATGGTAAGTATGTTGGTTTCTCTTCTTCCCAAAGCCAGACTCGCTAAGATGACCACCAGTCTAACTGATATCCTTCCTCTCTTGTGTTTCTCTTTCATGTTCCCCTCTTGCTGCCTGCTGCTGTTCCTGTCCTCCCCCTGACTCCTGTTCAATCCTGTCTCACCAAATAAGGTAAGAGAAAAAGTGTTCATCTTTATTGTTTACAGCCATCAAACCGTATAGTGGTACAAACAGCACTTATTACTGATACACTGACAACTGAACATCATACTCTATTTCACCACACAGTGACTGAATACAAACACAGAAAGCAGCAGTGATGTGTTTTATGTATGCAAACATTACACATTGGCACTTAATCGGATGACTTTCTACCAGCGTCTGTTCATACCTCACAACACATCTATCATCGCTGAAGATTGCTTAATCCAGCGTTGATGGACGTACCTTGATCATGTGTGAGTGTGTGTGTGGCTTCATGCTCAAAAGATGGCGTGATGTGTTGTATGTGACTGGGGTGTTGCACTGATGTATCACATGGACATCATCTATCAGTAATACTGTACAGTAATATTCTCTAGGTATTAAATGATAAAATCATATTTTAAACTCTAATTTCTAATCAAAGAATATTGTAAATCCGTTTTTTATATCCTTTGTACATACCCTCTATTTCAGGTGCAGAAGTACTTCACATTTGAGAGAGGCTGGACAGCTAACAGGCTTATATGGTTGAGGAACGTATTAGCAGGGAATCAGCTGTTAAAGTAACTAAAGCCAGAATGAATTGTCAGTAATTATTGTTATAATGCCATATTTTTGTATTTTGTTTTACCATGTGGTTCTTGTGCTCCATACCTCTATCCCCTTGATATAGTCGATTGTTAAGCATAACACAGTTACGCATAAGATAGTTAAGGTATTAAAGTACTTTAATAAAATAGTGTAATGCAGAAGATAAATAAGGTACAACGTAACAAGCAACCACGCAGAAATGATGAAAACAGAGTGCATCATGTAGGCTTGTGATGTCCTCTCAACATGCCAACATATTAGAGGAAGTTGACTCTCACTAAGTTGGATGGATATCAGTTCAACAAAAAGCATAGTATTCATTCAACTCTGGTCATTCTTTAAAGAGAGCAGCCAAGAATATTAAAAACTCAGGCTCACTTCTCACGTACTTATCCTCCTTTCATATTGTTCAGTGTTTATACACTCAGTTGCAAGTTTACAGTCCTGCAATGCATCCTACCTTCATAGTGGTTATTGTGTTCCGTTGTTTTGTATTATTGTTATGGAGATGTGCGGATTGAACTTCACTTCATGATCATTTTGTCAGGTGCATTTCGTGCTGCAGTTAAATTAAACTTATAAACAGATTGTTTCATTGTATTAATCTTATTAGTATTACTATAAATAGTCACTAATACGCGCTTTGAGCACCAGGAAAAGTGCTATACAAAGGACATTATTATTATTACAATTATTATTACTAATGATATAAATGGACAAAATAATAGAAACGTTTTTTACGCAATTCAACTGTATCATGCACTGGGGCCTCCAAAATGACCTTACAGTTTGATCTTAATGTGTTTTAGATAGGTGGACCTAACTGAATGTATATGACACAGGAAGACAAATACAAGAATATATATTTGTAATGCAGACCAACACCAGACTCTACAGCTTTAAAACATACTAATCAACTGATTTAAAATTCAAAAATCTAACTAAGATGTGTGGTTTTAGCTAAATAAACATACTGTGATTTTGGTTGTATTCATGGATAAACTTTATACATTGTTTTACACCCAACATGTTGCAGTTTATCCGATGCAGGTTAGAGTACTACATTAAATCATGCATTGAACAATGACTGTATGAAGATGGTGCTGGCTTGCAGGCACATGTTTGTAGAGAGTGCATGTCCTCCTCCATCTTTAGAGATCTGTCCGGTGTGTATGATGTCCCCCTGTCACATGATAGGTGGATACAGAAAATGGCTTAATGGATGGATATATGAGAATACATATCAGTAAGCTTTTGTAAATAAAAACCTCTTGCGTCTTTGTCACTTAAGCACTTGGTATTGTTGCTAAACACTTTGCAGTGATCACTTACTTGATCAGGAAGTTTAAAGTGTGAATAAACTGTATGTGTGCATGTTTACCTCTGAATGGTGCTTGTCTGAATCAAACCCTTTATTTTATTTGAAATCCAATATTCCAGCAATCCTTTCTTGGGTTGATAGTTATACTTTTTTATTCTCAGTTGATATTTCTATGACGTGTGTTTGCAGTGGTAACATTTTATAAGGTGCTAGGTGCGTCCTGGAGGATCTGATACTGTCTTCAGTCTGAGCCTGTGAGCCTGTGAGCCTGTGAGCCTGTGAGTCTGTGGGCTGTGCAGCAGCAGCATGCAGCAGCAGCAGCAGCAGCATGAAGCAGCAGCAGTTGGCCGCCTGTGTGGCGCTGTCCACTCGTGTAGTGCTGAAAGCTGTTCAGGCGCTCTCCCACGCTCTCTGCCTCTCACACTGCCTCTCTACATATCCCTCTGTCGCGATTATTGCAAATAGTTGTTTGTGTTTTTCTAATTCATTTACTTTTGTTCTTATTTTACCATACTTTCATTATATGTTATGTCAATGTGTAATGCCTAAGCCCAGCGTATGAACATTGAGTAATGCTGTTGCATAATTGTAAGAATCATTTGATTGATAATAATTGGTCTGATATGAGAGAGAGAGAGAGAGAGAGAGAGAGAGAGAGAGAGAGAGAGAGAGAGAGAGAGAGAGAGATGTTCATAAGTCTGCCGTCTTATCCGTTTCTCGCGCCGCTCCCCCTCCCTTTTCGTCCATATGGGCTGCAGACCGAATAATTTCACTGAGGCGTGGTGCAGACGACGTAAGGACGTATGGAGGCTGCATTGGCTTTCTCTGGCCACAGGTAGGCAGCGAAGAGCCTTGTCAGATTCAAAGACATGTGCATGCATTCAGGTACAAGCAAGAGCATAGATGATGGATTAACACAATACATTGAATGTGTGGTCATATAAAGATCCGATATTTACCTATTTATAGAACACTGGCCTTAGGATCTTATATTTACAATTTGTATCAATAATAAATGCATGCAATGCTCTATAGTTTTCATATTTAAATACATTACATTTTTTTAAACCCAGTAGAGGCAGATATACTTAGAGTTCATTGGTTGTCTATAATATTTATAATGATAGCTTTGCAATAACCAGGATGGTATTCATACTTAAACGTCACTGTTCTGTAGTCACTAACTGATGCCACGATTGGTGGAAACAGGAATATCCCCTCCACCAATGAAATCCTGAGTATTACAAAGAGATCTACTCCATCTCACTGAGTAGCTTCAGCCTCGTAACCATTACAATGTGCTGCGCTGGGGAGAGGGATGCATATGCAGACACAAAGCATGACTGTCTCGGTTGCATATGAGGACGCATCTACATCGGATCATTTACCTTCTATATATAATCAGCTAAGAAGTTTGGATTGTGATAAGATATTGAATTTATGGAACGAGGAATAATGTGGACCAAATTTCCTGCATGGCAGGTGTTTTTGTGGTGGCATCATTTATTTCTTTTGTGGAGTACAATAGAAGGACAGACTCGTTACAGCATTCCGGAGGAACTGAAACAGGGCTCCATTGTAGGAAATCTAGCCAAAGATCTTGGTCTGGTTGTATCTGAACTGTACCCACGTAAATTGCGGATAACCTCGGACGCTGGTAAGCAGTATTTAAGCGTGGACTTGGGGAAGGGGAAACTGGTGGTGATTGATAGGATAGATAGGGAGGAACTGTGTGGACAAATAGCGTCATGTGTGTTGCCTTTGGAACTAGTCATAGATAACCCTCTACAACTGCATAGGGTCGAGATTGAAATACAGGATACAAACGACAATTCTCCTATTTTTCTCACTCAAAAGAAAGTGTTACAAATTGCAGAGTTGGCCAATACTGGCACACGATTTCCATTAGAAAGTGCACAGGATCCCGATGTTGGCACTAATTCTGTACGTACTTACCTAATAAGCAAAAACGACAATTTCAAATTGACTGTTAAAAGCCACAAAGACGGTAGAAAAATCCCTGAACTGGTCCTCGAAAAGCCACTTGATAGAGAAAAGCTGCCTGTGCACAATCTTATCCTCACCGCTGTAGACGGTGGAGATCCTGTGCGCTCAGGGACATCTGAAATTACAGTTATAGTACTGGACAACAATGATAATGCGCCTGTGTTTGAAAAACAGGTGTATGAATTTAATGTCAGCGAAAAGGCAACACCTGGAACTGAAATACTGCAGGTTAAAGCTACAGATGCAGACGAAGGACTAAATGGAGTAATCGAATATGTGTTTGCAGAGCAAACTACAGATCTGATTTTATCATTATTTAACATTGAACCCTCAACTGGAGTTATTGTTGTCAAAGGAATTTTAGACCATGAAACTAAGTCTTTACATAGATTTGACGTCACTGCTAAAGATAAAGGCAACCCTAAGATGGATGGCCATTGTGGCGTCGAAATTAAAATAGTTGACATGAACGACAATATTCCTGAAATAATTGTAACTTCTCTAACAACACCTATTCCAGAAGACTCTGCAATTGGAACCGTAATTGCGCTGTTAAGTGCAAAAGACCCAGATTCTGGTGACAATGGTAAAATTAAGTTAAGCGTGTCTTCGAAATCACCCTTCAAGTTAAATCCTTCGGTGTCTAATCATTACTCATTAGTGACAAATCGGCCCCTTGACCGTGAAACAAATAGCCAGTATAGTGTCAAGATCATTGCTACTGATTCTGGAAAGCCCCCATTATCGAGTGAACAAATTATATTTGTTAAATTGTTAGATGTAAATGACAACCCACCAGTGTTCTCTCAGCCTTCTTATGCCGTATATGTAAAAGAGAACTATGCTCCGGGGAACATTTTGTCCTCAGTATCAGCGTCTGATCTGGATTTTGGTGAAAACGCCAAAGTCTCTTACTCCATCCTGGACTCTAAAGTTCAGGACGTTTCTGTCTCGTCTTATGTTTACATTAACTCAGATAAC